CTCCTGGTGCTGTCAGAGTTGTCAGAGCTCTGGGTCCTGGAAGGTGACTTTGGTTCCTCAGTTCTGATGGTTCCAGGTTCCAGATCTGTTTATCAAGTGTGTGCCTGCCCTGGCTTTGGCACTTAAACCTGGCTGTTGGGGCTGCCTGGCAGAGGCTGCTCCCAAGAGATCTCCGAGCACAGGAGCCTTTCCTTGAGATGTTGTGAGAACTGAACAGGCAGGAGTAACCCCAGACTCAAGTATTTGTTGTATGAAGTGTAAGAGTTCGCCAGAGGAAGTACCTTTCCAGCTTTTAACTGTAGTGTTGCTTTGTAATTATTCATTTGGCTGGAAAATTCCAGCCTTCTAAAGGCTAACCCAGACACAACTTTGCCAGGAAATGCATTACATGGAAAATAATGAAGCTCCTATGAATACACAGTCTCCAGGTGAAATTGGATGCCGAGCATATTGTTGGAAGCAGTCTGAGCCTTATTAAATATGTATCCCAGTGTTAGGGCAGCACTGCTTTCCAGAGTGCTGCTGGGGCTGAGAGTGGCCAGGATTTCTCTTCCTGTGGTGGGGAAGGAGAAGTTCTTTTCAGTGCACGGGGAGCTGGGATTTTAACTGGGGAATATCTGCACAGGGAGCAGGTCAGCCCTGCTTTGCAGATTTCTCTGCCCTGTGCTCCTCTCTGAATCCTCGTGAATTGTATTTCTTATCTGTTCCCCTCGGTTTGTTGATACTTTTAACATGAGGGAAAACTATTTTGATATTTCTCTGTCAGTTATTTTGACATTAATCAACACTGCAGATCTTGTTTTGTTTGGTGTCTGGGTACATCATAAAGAGAGTTGCTGAAAGAGTTCAATTACAATATCAGCATCTCTGCCAAATGTATTGAGCTGTTCTGAAAAGCCGCTTGTCTTTTCTGACCCAGATACACAGTTTCCAACTGTGGGAGATGCTGCCAGAAAGACTCTTGGCAGAAGGCCAGCAATAAAATTATACTGCAGAAAAAACACAACATATTTTCAGCAGCACTTTGTGTGGTGTGACGAAAAATTACCTGTCTCCTGAATGCAAAGCAGAGGCTAAAATAAACTTCCAATCTGAAGTTGCGAGCCTCTCATTCTGACTTTTGAAGGTCATAAAAAAGGATATAAATTTCAGGTTTTTCTATTACTGTGTCTGATACACCTCAGGCTGTGTTAGATACTCATTGGTTTGTTATTAGCAACCTTGCTGCTCTGTTAATACAAGCTCTGCCTGCCCGTGGGGTGGTGCACACTGCACACTGGGCAGATACTGGTGTCAGGCTAGATTAGGAGGGTGGAGGGTGTTTTTAATGCTTCAGTTGAACATTGTTAGCGTGTGCCTTCTTGATGGAGCATTAAAAACCAATTTTCATGGTGTTCTACTTGGCCTGGCCAGGAGCCTGAACAGCAGCTGACTGAAGTGAGGGTTTGGAGCACTGGTGACCCCAATTCCCTCTTCTCTGTTGCACCAGTAACCCTTCCGTGCAAGGTGCTGCTCCAGGGGGATACTGGGATGCCAAGCACAGTTCATGTCTCCTTTCCAGCAGCTCATGGCTCCCTGATTCTGGTATTTCAGTCCCCGTGGAGTGCACGTACCTGTTTCTGCTGCCTTTTCACTCTGTTCACAGGCACTCCAAGGCAGCTGAGCATATTCATCACCCCTGGCTGTTTAACTGCCTGTCCCTCGGGAATGCAGCTGCAGATGCAGGAATATCTCCTACTACAAAAGCCTCATCTGAAATTCTTTTCGTTTGTCTTGTGCCAAAGCATAAACTTCCTCTGTGAAGGATGGCATGTTTAATGGAACTGTTGCTACACTGTCATGGTGTTTTAATAACATTTCTAACGTGTCAAATCCCCAGTGATTTTAAACCACGCTGCAGACTCCGCTCGGCTCCGCCGTGACCTGGTTTGGAGACAGTGACTGTTTACTCTTGTTTCACACTTCAGGGCCACATGATGCAGAGGAAAAGGGACTTTTTCAAGGTCACCAAGGTCTGGGTTGGTGCAAGGAGCTTTGGGTAGAAGTTTCCTTGCAAGTGTGGGTGGCAGCCTCTGGGTAAGACAGCCACATGTTTTAACACTGTGCTTTTTAGACTGGGCATCAGCTGTAACTTCCCTGAGGATGCAGGAACAAATAACCTGCTCTAGCCTGGTAGTGGAATGAGGCTGTTGGATTTATGGAATTGCTGCTCACTTCACATAATGCTTTCTGATGTATTTGGTGCTGAGCTATGTTGTGCTGCCTTAGTCCATATGGTTGGAGCAGATTTGATTTTGGTTTTCCTTAATTTAATTCTGCATGCTGTCAGATGTACTTTGTTCTGTATATTGTGTCTACACTTTTATAGTAAACTCCCTCCTGTTTAGTGCTTTTGTTGAAAATGTTCTCTCAAAGTCTGAACTAAATTAGGGTTTCACTCCTGTGCGTTTCTGAAATATTCGTAGGATGTTAATGACTGGGAAAACATCATATATCAGCTTCAACTCAACTTTCAGAGGTTTTTTTCCCAGCTTTCTGAATTTGATAATAAAGATCCCTTTGCAGTTCAGCTGTCTGTGCCCTGACCTCAGCCATGCCCTGCTGAGAACCAGGGCAGGTGAAACCAAACTCATAAATACCTTCATCCAACAACTTTTACTTGTCACTGAAAACTGAACCTGTCTTGAAAACAAGAGAACAGGTTATTGCCTGCTTAAGGCAGGGTATGGAGGGATGGGGATGTTTGTGCTTCATCAGTCCAGCAGCAGCTTAACCCCCATCATAGCTGTGAAACACTTATTTTTGGTCTGTTCTGGATTTTCAAACACTGAAAAGCACTGGGCACATCCCGAACTGCCCCCTGAGGAGTGTCTGTGTGCAGAGCTCGTGGTGTCTCTTGCAGACTTGCCCTCTGGACAAGAGCCTGCTCAGCACTTACTGAGCACCAGGATCTGCCCAGCCAGCTCTCTCTGCCCATCTGCTTCCAGAGCCCTGTGCGAGCTGATAAGCAACAGCTTGCAGCAGGCTGGGGAGGGAGGCCAGGCTGGTGCTGCTCCCTCAGAGACACTGCACTGGGCATGTGCTGAACTCAGCAACACGTTCCAGTGCCCTCCTCTCTGCCTGGAATGGCCAAATTACAGCTGCCAGAGAGGATAACAAACCGAAAAGGTGAAGTGTGGGAGTGGCAGGGAAGAAGAGTAGGTGAAGACAGCTGGAATTGAGTGTGGAGAGAGAATAATTTGAAATAGATGATCTAGAAACATGTCTCATAGAAGTCTCTCTAGTATTCTATCTGCTGACTCAAACTACTATTATTATTATTATTGTTATTGTTATTATTGTTAGCAAAACAAAAAGACCTTGCAAAGAGTCTGGTTGGTTCTGGAGGTGGTGAAAGGCTGTGGAGTGTGGAGAAGCTTGACTAGCTCACTGAACAAAAGTGCCAAAGCACTGATCTTTGCTCATTTTCCCTCCCAGCTGCCCCTGCCTGGCTTTCAGGATCTCTTAAGAGAAGAGGCTGGTTCTGTGAAAGAACACCCCCTTCTCTGATTGCTTCTGGGAAGCAATTTGGTGGAGTGTTAATACACCTTGGTGGGTACAGAGCTCCGTGATGAGCAGTGGGGGCAGTCGGGGTTTTCATTAGCTTGCTTTTCCCAAGTATTTTTAGTATGACTGCGCTTAACTCTCCTGGGGTTTCTTCCTTGGCAGCTGCAGCTGCTGGAGCAGGCAGGGCTCTGCACAGTGTTCTTGTCTGGCTGCTTTTTGTTGTACCCAATTCTGCACCCGAAATTCAGGGCTGTGCAATACAAACAACTACCAGACACCTGCTGGTCCTGTAAACCTGCTTAATTCCTTCCAACCTAGGCAAATAGGGAAGTAGGATTTGTTGTTGCCTTTTCCCCTGTTAAGTTCAAATCTCTACAGGATGCAACATTTTAATTATTCCGTCACGCCACAGTCTAAGCATCTCCTCAGCTTTCAAGTCATCTCACCTACCCCTCTGCTGTTGCCAAGCATGCTTTTAATCTCTAACAATGTCAGGATTCTCTGACACACAATCTGCAACATACTGCAGGTGAAGGGGGGTCGGCATACGGGAGAAAAGGAAAACGTTTGAGTGCGTGTGTCAGGCTGCACAGATTTACTGACTGGGTTTGCAATTGCTTCAAAACGTTGCTGGAGAGCTGATGCAACAGTATGTGCAGTGAAAGGAAAACAGGAATTTTCTGCAAGGACTGGAGTGTCTTGCTGTGCGGCGAGCTTATGCTTTCCTCTCTCACATTACCTGCTCTGTTTTTCTGCTCCTCTCTCACAGAGCATTTATTTGCAGCTTTCTGCTGCCAGTGCTGGAGGTTGTTTCCCAGTTTAGTACAAGAAGGCTGCTCTCACAGGATCTTTTCCATGCTGAGTGCTGGGAAAGGCAGTGTACGGGCAGCACAGGCGGTGTGGGTGATTTCAGCTGAGCTGCTCGCAGGTCTGACGTCTGCAGTTTGGGAGAATGTGCTTGTCCTTCTTTAAAAAACAACTTGCAGTTATTGCCACCTGAAGCCTTGGTTCTTGTTGTGCAGCATCTGACACAGGATCGAGGGCTGCACTGGGGATTTCAAAAGATAATTACTTTTTGATAATTAAATATGGTGTGTTTGATTGCTAACGTGCATGTGACATAAAAATAGAGACTTCTTGAGCTGGTATCACAAGGAGCATGTTTGCAGTGCTGGATTTCCTGCCCTCTTCCCAGGAACTGGAATTGCCAGGTGGCCGACAGAGCTCCCTGAGATCAGCTCTGGCACGGGACAGTCGTTCCATGTGTGGGCACAGCACAGGGAGCTGCTTTCCCCAGTCACTGCTGCTGCCTGGGGAGTAACTGGCTCACAGGCTGCTCCCATCTCAAAGCCTGTGTGCTCTGAGCAGTGCTGGACTCCATGTGCTGCATTGAGCACTTCTGGAATCCTCATGCCCTTGCTGCTGCTTTCAAGCTGTTTCTCTCTTTTTTGCAGGTGAATTAGACAAAGTGACTCCCAGAGCATCTTGGCTGTATGAACTCTTGAGCTGTCAAGGGACTGAGAGGCTTATGAAGAGGTTCTGTCAGGCAAAACAGTGCTTAGCAAAGACACCGAGGAGGAGGGAAAAGGAGAAAGGGAGGGAGAGAGAGCTGAAACACTAACAAACCATGGTAGGTATTTGTTGTCTTTCACAGGGCTGCATTAAAAGTGTTCTCTGCTGCCAGTCTTGCATGGGGCCTGATCAAACCCGAGGAAGGGGATTTTCTGACCTTGCACTAACTGAGGGATGGTGCTGCGTGCTTGGAGCAAAGCAAGTGAGGTTTGATGTATTGTCAGCCTCTTAAAACCAGAGAGTTGTCTTGTGAGCCTGCAGTACATGAATTATTAAATACAAACCAAGGGGATGCTCATAAGGTTTTCTAATAAAACTGGCATTAGCAGGCTGTAGCAAACAGCATCAGTGACCTTGAACTGGCAGATTGCATCACCAAATGCTGACATTCCCCTTCCACCTCTTCTCACAAAAGCATTATTATTCATACCTGTGTGTGACTGAACGTGGCTCTGTGCAGATGAAATGTGTTTAGCCAGATATACCTGGTGTATGTTGGTTAAGTGAGGAGTCACCTCTCATCTGCCTGGGATTGGCTCCACATTGGGAATGGCTGAGATGTGAATTTGTAAAGATGTGCCAGTGTGGAGTACTGGATGGTAAGATAAGACATGGTGGGATGAGTTGTTAAACTGCAGCTCCTGCTGTATCCATGTTACGGATAACCACAAGAGGGACCTCCTGGAAGTGTTTTGCAGCCTTCCAAAGAACAGGGGATAATACCAGCCCCCGATGGATGTACTGCTGTTCCTGCCCAAATTATCCATCTGGGTGGGAGCACAGGAGTGAGGAAGGGAATGGCATCACGCTGACCTTCAGTGGAAGGGACTCAGTGAGTGGAATAAACCAGGAAAATGTGGACAGTACCTTAACGAGGATCCAGCCCAGAGGCCTCTGAGGTCCTTTAAAGGCCCTTTGTGTTATTAGGAATGGGTACAGCTACAAACCCATGGAGTTGGGGTGAAAATGAAACCTAATTAAGGTGCTTAATGTGTAGGAGGAACAGAGGTTCTTGGTTGGTGACTCCCAGGTCTGGGAGGCTTTCAGCAGTGACTGATGTGTCTGTAGAGACCAAGACTTACTGCTGCTCTTGCCAGAGGTGTGTGCTGTGATCACAGCTGGTCTGGGGCACTACTTAGATCAAAGAAGTCTCACCCGGAGAGTGTGTGACAAACCAAAAGCTTCCTAGCACGGGCTACCCAACCACTGAAGTCCACCTTCCTCAGCAGTATCACTCAAGACTTAATTTTAATTAGCACTCTCATCTCTGTATTAATTTGAATTAAAAAAAAAAAATTATTTCAGTCTCCTTACCAGTTTCTCTCTATGCTCATCTTCATTCCTGGCTTTGTAAATCCCTGTGCAGCTGCTGAGCCTCTTGCAGCCTGTGTATTGCTGTGACTCCATCTGCAGCAGCAGCACACGTGAGGGACTGGCTCTCTGACTGCCCGTTCCAAGGTGTGTTGCTGTTGTCCCTGGCATAAAGAGAGGAGAGGTGGCTGCACTCAGCACATCCAGAATAGGCAAAAACTTTATTTGGAAAGTATTAACACCTTCTACAAAATAGGAATCTTCTCTCCTTGCCTGCCCTCCTTTCCTCCTTTCCCAGTCTGCTCCCACCCTGGGATACTCACGTTCCAAATTCCCTGCCTTGGCGTGAGGTTCCCATTTGGGATCAGGACCCTGGCTCTCCCCTTTGCTCTGAGCTATCCAGCTGCTGAAGGCTGGCACAGCCCAACACAGACTGCTGGAATTCAGAACACCTGAACTCCTGCAAGTATCCCAGGGGAGGGCAGCCCCCCTTTCTCTCAGTGCTGTTGCTCACAGTTTGTATCTCCACGAGATGTAGGTCCTTCAGCAAGATCAGAGTCCAAGTGATTTCTCACTGACTTTGAAAGGTTAATGTAAATAACCAAGCAAGTCAAAGGGAATGCAGCCAGGGGTTTTGTGTTCTCCTGCTTCAGCACTCTGTTATACTCTCAGCCAGCCAGACCATGCCCTCTTCTCCAAGAGAATCTTAGTGGGGGAGGGCAGGGAAAAGTGAGAAGAACAATGAAAGTAAGTTTTACTGCTTTAATGCTGATTTTTTTTTGCACTGGTGTTTGCTTTTTTCTTTTTAAAGTTTATTTAAATAAAGAAATTGCTGCTGCATGGTTATCCTAAGAGACATTACTACCCCTGCCAGGGAGGATTCCCATTCAGGCAGCGTCCTATTGATAATCCAGCAACATTGCTCTCTTTTCCTCCTGTTTCCCACTCCTCCACAGAGATCGATCCGATCGTTTGCTAACGATGACCGCCACGTAATGGTGAAACACTCAACCATTTATCCATCTCCAGAGGAACTTGAAGCTGTCCAGAACATGGTATCAACAGTAGAATGTGCCCTTAAGCATGTCTCTGACTGGATGGATGAAAAGAACAAGTCTACCAAGTGTGAGGGTGATGTGGAAGCCAAGGAGGAAGCTGTGGAAGGCAATGCCAAGTGAGCCTCACCCTCCCCTCCCCTCCCAGTGTGTCCCTGTGCTGCTCTCAGCGCTTCCTTTCCTCCCAAATAAGAGTCCCAGTGTTCCTTGGTTCTGCTGCATGTGAAGGTTCATAGAAGGAAGGGGATATATTTGGACTTTCTGTGGTGGGAGCAGGGAATGGCAATGAGCCCAGTGTGGGCAGCAGTTGCTCTCCATTTCTTTGTTTGTTTTACTGTGGTGTTGGGAAGTTGCATTTAGCAGACAAACCTTTCAGCAGTTTTAAGCAAATATATGTCCCTGTAACACACCAGTGCAAATCCACAGCCACGTGCTTGGGGGCTCATGCAGTTTAATACACAAAAAAAGTTTTTATAATCCAGCAGTCCAACTTTGCTAAGGCTCCATTACCTGCCAGTGCTGTTGTGGTTTAATCCCAGCCAGCAGCTCAGCCCCACACCAACACTGATTTTTGTTTTAAAAAAAGTAATCCAAGCCTGCAGTAAATGCTTTGGAGACAACTGGATGAGACAAGAGCCTGGTGATGACCTATCAGAGAAACATTTCTTGTATTTCTCTTCATGTTTTTAAGCAATTCCAATCTGCAAAACTGGTTTTTTTTGCAGTCTTTCAGTACTCAAAACTAAAGTGTCTTTACATTGCTTTGGAAGTTCTTTACTGTGGCTCTTAAAGGTTCTCCTAAACTGCATCTGGAGAATAAAATACCATTTTAATTAGCCCAAATTGTTTCATTTCCAGGGATCAAGGTGGTCGGACGTTATGTGGTGTGATGAGAATTGGCTTGGTTGCAAAGGGCTTGCTGATAAAAGATGATATGGATCTGGAGCTGGTTCTTATGTGCAAAGAAAAACCCACAAAGACCTTGTTATGTATCGTTAAAGACAATCTCCCAGCTCAAATTCAGGTGAGTTAATCTGGGGCAGTCCTGGTAGCACTGCCAAGGGTATTTGGGGAAAGGCTGCAATTTGTTCCAGGAAGACAGACAAGTGATATAAAGGAATATAGTTTGAATCTAGGACGAAATCTGGGGCGTGTGACATGTTTAATGTGGTGCCATGAAGTACTTGCTCACAAAACAGAACATCTTCCTGCTGCTGTTGCCTCCTCCTGTCTGTGCTGTCAGTGCCCTGAGGGCAATGACCCTGGTGTGTGTGACTAACCCAGCACATTCGGGCTCTCTGGGCTCAGTGTGACTGAACTGCAGCCCCAGAACCTCCCCTGCTCCAGTGGGTCACTCAGTCCCTGCTGTTGTCCCGCTGGGGCTGTTCCCACAGAAGCCCCTCTGTGCTGCTGAGGTGAGAACGTGTCGCTGCAGGTGGTCACTCGCTTTGGCTCCTGTTAATCACGAGCTCCTATTCATTTTACTTATGGCTATTTAATTCTGCTGTCGGCATGCAGCAGGCAGCACTTACAGCTTGTTTAGGGAGACTGCCTTTGTGACCGAGTTTGAGGCTGAGGAATCAGTTCAGCTTCCAGACTGACAAACACTGGTGCCAAGGAGCTGCCCAGGTATTCCACTGCAAGTGCCCCTCTCCAAACTCGACCAAACTCGATCTGCTTTTCTCCTGATCTGCTTTTCTCCCTGTGTTTTACCATTCTTGACAGCTGTTCTCACCATTTATTTGCTCACACAAAGGGCTTGTTTTAATGAGCTAATGTTGTACCTGCAGATGTGGCCCTATCCATAGCTGAAAATGCAAAGGATCTTTTGAGAAGTAAAGAGTTCATTTTACTTGTTTGAAAATGATAGGGATGTATTCAGTATTAAAGAGTAAATTTTGTTTGTAGTGAGGCATGAAATGAGGAGGGTTGAAAGTGAGAACAAAAGTTAGTGTGTGCTTCAAAAACAGTGAGATGAAACAGGAGAGTAGATGTAATTAAAAGATGTGAAGACTGAATAAATTCAAGGGACAGGCAGGTAAGATCCTGGGGGGAATTATGGTGGGGATTACAGCAAAGATGAGGCTGTGACTCATGAAGCGCTACAACTGTCTGGGCATGGAGGACAGGAGAGGTTCTGCAGAGGGATCAGGTGCTGGGGGGGAAGGAGGGTTTAGGCCCATTAGTGGACAAAAGGAGCAAGTGCAGTACAGAGACATCAGCAGCTTCTGCTTTGCTGCTTTGAAGGCTCATCCTGAGCAGATGCTCAGCCATTCTCCTCCCAACAATAAAGGAGCTGCGGGAGAGCAGATGCAGCAGGGGAAGGAGTCGGAACAGACATTAGATACATGTTCTGCCCGTATGGTCTGTGAGCCAGACTCGCACGCAGAAGGGATGGCTGCAGGACTCTGAGCCATCTGGGGCTCTCGCTGTGCTTCTGGAGGTTGAGAGAGTCCCAAAGGACTGCTCAGAGACCTGCAGAGAGATCACTGCAGAGAACTCGGATACAATGCATGTTAACGGAGCGAATGGTAAGGCAGTTGGAGTATGGGCTAGAAAAGAAATGTTTGAAATGGTTTTTAATGAGGAAGGCAAGGCCTTATTTGTTATTGCAGTGTCTTGTGGGCTTCTCACTAGCTGAGGCACACACACAGATTCTGCACTCTTCCAGCTGATTGGGAGATTCTTGAAATCTTTGTTGGTGACTTTCAGAAACTTACAGAAGAGAAGTATCTGGTGGAGGAGCATGTAAATGAGGCAGCTATTGTTATCCGTAACACAAAGGAGCCCAAGCTCACTTTGAAGGTGATACTCACGTCCCCTCTCATCCGAGATGAAGCAGAGAAGAAGGAAGGAGGTACACAGAGCGTTTTAACTTGGGTTTCAGACTGTTCTAGCTAAATGCCCTGACTGTGCAGCACAGGGTTAAATTGGGAAGCAGGCTTTTAGCTGTGCATCACATACTGACTAGACTGGCTATCGCCACCATAGATCACATTACCTGTGCCTTCAAAAGACACCAGTCACTTAATCTTCATGTAAATACGCCTAATTTTCATTGGCCAGCAATATTCCTACAGTTTTAACTTTGACATACAATTAGATCTCAGTTCTCCTTTCTTTACACTTGCGATTTAATTCTTGAGCACCTGGCGCTGCACAGTCTTGTTTGCAAACTAAGTCAGTCAAGTGGGATTGGTTCGTAGTTTCTTGAAAAACTCATAAAAATGTTTCTCTTTTTATGTAAAAACCCTCTCCTGCAAAGCTCGCCAGTGTGTCGTCCTGGCCCTCAGTTTTTATTGGTTGATGATGTGTGTGTTTCTGGCTTTAGGAATTTCCTAACTGGGATACAATTGAAGTTACGGTGCTGTGATACAGCACTTTTGCTTCTGAATTGAACATTGTACCTCATGCCCTTAGAGCAAAATAGATCTAGAAAACTGTCACTTAGTCCTTTCCATTCCTTCTCCCCTACGGCGTGATGTCCGACACAACTCCGTGCCCGTGTTGGACAGGAATTCCATGACAGGAATGTTCACTGGTAGGACCAGAGAGGTTGGAAACAAACCCAGAGCAGTAGAGAAGAGCAAACGTAGCCATACTCTGTTGTATTTTTTAAATCTTGTCAGTAATTTCTGCTTCCGCTTCCCAAACCTATCCCTAGAAACTTTGCCACTGGATGATGTCAGACCTTTGACCAACTGGCCACTCTCTGTCATGACAACTGAGGCAGCTGGGCCCGTGTGGGCTTAGGGAACTCCCTGTCGCTCTCTTCCCATTTCTAGACTTGCCACGAGTCCTTTGCTTCCTCCCTCTCCCACCTGAACTACCGACGGGCCGGGAAATGTTGGTCAGTTGCTCCTCACTCTGCTGGAGGCGATGGCAGGAAGGATCCCCTTCCAAAGACATGGAACACTTTGGCAGCAGCTGAATGCAGAAAATCTTACAGAACAGATGAATGGCAAAGATCCCCTAATTGCACTGGCTGTTTATTCTCAAATTAGTAACCACGCTCTTTACAAGGCCATTAAAAATAAACTGCATATTGCTTTAGTTGTTCAACTTCCCACAAGATGCTGAGATCAGCCCTGGAGCTGCTGCAGCTGATCCATGTTGATGGGAGAGCACAAAGTGCAGAATGAATTCTGATGGGGAACGTTTTGTGAGGTTCCCACAAGGGGATAGATACAATTTTGCACAAAGGCTTCTGCCCAAGTATTTTCTTGCAAGAAGTAATGCTGTTGCAGCAGTGACGTCCAGGGTCTTCTGAACTCAGACTGAAGGGGGATTGGAATTTTTATGCTTTCTCATACTTAATACGTAGGTGTTCTATTTTGTTTTCAGTATACTAAAATATTTTTTAAAGTTCTCTACTATTTTTTGTTAAACTTAAATTGGTTTTACCACTTCTCTTGGAGTGGTTCTGTGTGTCATTCTGTACAGCTGATGAGAGAGGGAACAGGGTCATGGATCTTGTTTTAAAGCCCAGGCTCCTTGACACTGATTCATCACAAGGGAACACTTATATTCCTTTTCAAGGTGTGTGAAGCATTGTGCAGATGTCACTGAGTAAACCAAAATGGAGGGGATACTTTTTTTCATAATGCTTCCAACCACATTTAGGTGACTTTCACTTAGATTCAGACCAAAAAAGTTTCATGTCTAATATCAAGGGAAAATAACTGGAGGAACTGGTGAAAACACCTTGATCTCCAGAGCAGTGCCATGTTTTTCCAGTACCCCTGAACAACGGCAGCCAAATGTAAATACACTTCCTATGCAGTTTTACAAACTTTTTAGTTTACCCCCTGCATTCTTTCGAATGAAGGAGCTCGAAATGCAGCTCAGCTTGCCTTTCATCTTCCCTGTAAGATGGAGCCGGGCTCCGGGCGCGGAGCCTGCGGGGCACTGACCAAGGTTTCGGTCGGTGGGATTAGCACTAATCTGTCCTCTAACCAACGGCAAGGTCAGGCCAACGGCCCTCGGTCCCAGTGCTCCCATCTGTTCTGTAGGAATGCTGTGTGTGCCTTCATGCCCTGATGTCAGAATGTATCGAAAAACATTCCTGGATTTCTCTTCAGTCCCCACCTCTTTGGAGAAGTGTTCATGTTTAAGATGTGGTGTTTGTCCTATTTGTTTTTGCTGCTCGTTAGCAAAAATAAATAGTGGCCCAGTGTGTGTGTGCATTTCGGTGTTTCTCACAAACAGCTACCCATAAAGCTCTGCTTTCTCATGTTGACTTGAGAAGCCAAGCACCTAAAATTCCTGCATTTTGCATCAGTTTAAATTTTAAACCCCTTAAGGAACTGAGTTTTTAGTCACAGCATCAAATATAAATTGGGCTTTCCAAACCAGAACCTTGTAGCTTGCAAATCAGTTGTTGTTACTGAGCGTACAGTACCAACAAAATGATGTAATCACAAACAATTGGTTTCCCAAAGTGGGGCTGAGATCCCTGTTGCTCCTGGAGCAGGACTGCCCGGCCTGTCTGCCTCTGCCACCCTTGGCCGGGCACACGTGGCCAGTGGGGCTCCCACGGGGCCAATGCCTCTGGAGGGGCAACAAGCCCCAGATTTTGACCTTCCCTCTCCAGAGAAGATGAGGCTCCTTGTACAGCTGCAAATGACTGGAGTTGGCAGCTCCTGTGTGAAGAGAATGTGTCCAGCAGTGGGGAGAGAATTCCCGAGGGATTGGTTCTGTGCTGAACAGTGGGAGCTAACGTCAGGACCTTATAACTTACTCTTTGTTAAACTCCTTGGATCACTGCCATTGTTAAAACTACAAGAGAAAAAGGAAAGCTTTGCAATCCCATTTGAAATTTCGATTGGGTCTCACTTTCCTGACTGGCAGAGCATGAAGAAACATGCCATTCTCCCGAGGGGTCCGAAGGGAGCCCGCTGCAAGCCGCTCGCCCTCTTCACTGCCTGTTCTCTTCATCTTTCTGTTTAATAGAATCTTGCACCCAAAAGTTGGCTGACTGCAACATCAGGACACTGGGACTGAACTGGCAATTGGCAAAGTCCTCCAAGATATTTGTAAATTAGACCTTGGGAAACACCCTTAATCCTGTAGAGAGAAGTATGATTCTAACTTGTTGAAGCAAATCTTAGGAGGTTTTTGGTTCCCCTGAATGACAGATGACACTTACTCTATTTGTTTTTAAGTTAAAGGAAAAATTAAATTACTTTGTCAATGGCTGCAACACACTTTAGCAAAGCCTGGTACAACACTTAGAGTCCCAGTTCATTGCAAAAAATTAATCATTTTGCAGTCAGTCACCTTTGCCATTTCTAACGTTTTAAAATAAGATTCTGATCATTCATTGACAGTACCTGTTTGATACAATACTTGAGCTTTAAGCAGATGTTTATATTGTCCCAGTGAAGCTTCCTCACAGAAATACACGGATGGATGTTCAGTAATCACGTGCCACAAAACGTCACTCCTGGAAAGAACGAAATTGCAGAGGAAATTTAAAAACAAATCTTGCGTTCCAAAGTGACCTTTTGTGCTCAAAGAAATCCAGTGCTTTGAGACTTTGCAGCCTTCATTTGGAAAAGAGACAAGAGGAGTGATTAATCCCAATCCTGGAATGCTGTTGAAGAGGGCAATAACAAACAATGCAAATATCTGCTGCGAAGTTCACAGGGGTTAGAAAATAAGCTTATAGCACTTGAGCCAGCAGCTGTGAACTGCAGCCATCACCTGTCAGACAAGATACTGGTTCTGTTCAGTTTTACACTCGTGGGGGTTTTTTTGGCTCTGGGCTCTCTTTTCCATCATAACATAAAGTGCTTTTACCAGAGCAACCCTCCCAGGGAAGGGCATCGGAGGGGAGGCAGCTTTAACATTAAAGGTGCAATTGCTCGTGCAGCCAATACTGTTCAAAGTAACCCCTGGAAATGCACTTGGAGATGTCACTAATAAGATGTCACTAATAAATTCAACTACAAACTGATGGTACTTTTTTCTCCTACCTTGTCCTGGTATTTTAAATGTCTTGCTGGACTTGGCTTATCTAGCAGAGTCTTCCATTTGAAACGGATTTTGTATTTCATTCAGTTCTTCAAGGGTGTCTAAAGACCATTATGACTAATGAAAAGAGTATATTTATTTTTAAGTCAACAGTAATGGTGTATTCAGAGAAAAATAACATATTCAAGGTTTTAGTTGAGTCATGGGTTCATTTAGTTCTTCCAGTGTGTTCTTCTCATGTCAGCTAAAACTAGTACCTTTGTAATCTGATTTCAGAGATGTGCAGAATCTGTCAGTTATACAGTTTCCAGAGAATCTAAATGCTATGAACTCCTTAGGATTAAAATAAATAAATGGGGAAGAAGGGACTGATGCATAATGTCCCTTAACACAGACTCAGATGTGACTGCTAAAGGTAGTTTGTTGCAAGCTGGATAAAAAAAAAGAAAAAAAGGGAAAAAAAAGGGGGAAAAAAGTGTAAACCTGCACAGAAAATACCAGTGTCTTGTCTCTCAAATGCATCTTTGAATCTCCTCTGTTGATTTCAGTTGCTGTTGGGCAGATTTTTACAAGAGGGCACTTCCTGTCGAATCCATTCATGATGTGGAAGTTACCAAACTCTCTCACTCTTTCATATGCTCTGGTTATATGAAAGACTAATCAAACTACAGTATTGTACTAGCATTTCCCATGTATTTCTTTTGCTGAATTATACTGGCTAGTACTGTCCATGCAATTCTATTTCAAATATATTCAGTGTTTTTCTCTGGAATTCTCAACAATTGCATGGATGTAACTTCACTTTCTATTACAATTTTTTTTATACCCCCCTGAGAATATCTTCCTCTTGTCCAAAGGAGCTTTGAAATTCTGTGCCACCTTTGTGGAATAAAAGTCACAAAGAAGGAAAAGAAGAAGAAAAAAAGCCCAATACATCCCAACAGAAAAAAAAAAAAAGGAAAAGTGCTATATAGCTATTTTCTGCCCTGAAATGTGTTCTACATTTTTAATAAGATCCCAGATTGTCTGTAGCAGTGGCCACCTTTATTATTACTATTATTTTACAAGGAGTGAATGCCTTTGCTTCTGTTGCACACGTGCACATTTACTACCTTTTAATGGCTTGTTTAAATTAAATAACACAGTGCACTTAAAGTTCTGGGAGTCTTATTATCTCATTGAGATGCTGCCGCTCTTTTTGTATTGTGACAGAAACCCCTTGGTCAAATTGTATCTGTCTCTTTTTATCCCATTTTTACCAGTAGATAATGTTGCGATGAAAGATCCTCCGGACTTATTGGACAGGCAGAAATGCCTGGAGGCCTTGGCGTCTCTGCGGCACGCCAAATGGTTTCAGGTTGGCTATTTGTTCTTACCTTGTTGTTATTGTAGCCTTACGAGGTTTAATTTGAGACACTTTTAATTTTAATGCCTCTTTAATTTCTGACTAGTCCCTCCTAGAGCAAAGGTCTAGAATTCCGACCCCAGTGCTGTACCGTGCGAGGGCAAACGTGGCAGGGAGACAGCCAGCTGGTCCAGAGTTGTCATGAGGCTACAAAAGCAATCTTGACATTTCGCTTCCTTTTTTTATATGTCTCTCTAAATTCAAGTCTTGTACTTTTATAGAAGTGTTTTTATTTTGCATGAAGCTGATTAAGCATTAAGTAATAATAATTTAAAAAAAAAAAATCTATCCCAGGACTCTGTGCATTTAAAAAGAAAAGCAAAATTGAAGGCCAGGCTTTTGCAGGTGTATTGGAATCATTTTGTTTGTTTTAGGCCAGGGCAAATGGACTAAAATCATGTGTAATTGTCCTTCGTATTCTGCGGGATTTGTGCAACAGAGTCCCCACATGGGCACCACTGAAAGGCTGGGTAAGTACAGAAAGAGCTGAAGGCCACGAGGTCAGGTCTCAGATCTCCTGAGACTTGTAGCAATGTCTGGACTGGAGAGAGCAGTGTCCTCTATGAGACTCCTCCTTAAACCCCTTACCCTTTTCTCCCTGTGTAGGGAAACGAAGGAGAGTATTCCTTCAGTCTGTCACGGGTACTGATGCCATGGAAGGACACACATTGCTGTGGGCCTCACGCAGCCCTGAGCATTTGCAAGAGAATCCCACTCATTGCCTTCAGTCCCTCTTGCTTAGCTTTCCAAAAGAACCCTGCTCCCATGACAGTGCCCCTCCTGCCAGCAGCTCTTACCCTTCCAGAGGGGCAGGTTTGCTCTCGTGCCCAGAGAGGAACACTCTGTAGGTCAGCGGTGATGGTGTTTCTCTCTGAAAACCCTCTGAGAGGCAGAGAACACTCACCTGACCTGGCCTGAGAGGCTCCTCCTTTTCAACTTCCTGGGCAGACAGCGGAGAGCAGTTGGTGTCCTCTGAAGGCAGCTCAGAGCAGGGGACAAAGCCGTGTGCCACGAACGAGGATGAGGCCTCCTCTGGGATGGGCCTGTCCATTAGACCTGTAGTGGATTAAAAATGAGTCACCTGATGTGAATGTTCTTCCCCTCTGCCCCTCCATATTTAACTGCAGTCACAGTTACCCTTGTGTCCATACTAATCGTAATTTAATGTCTTCTAGCCACTCGAGCTTATATGTGAAAAATCTATAGGTACTTGTAATAGACCTTTGGGCGCTGGGGAAGCGTTGCGACGAGTCATGGAGTGTTTGGCATCTGGAATTCTGCTTCCCGGTAAGGGGCCAAATGAACTCCAGGAACACAAGGGGTTGATCAGCCAGCTTTAAATTTAGCTCTTGCTGTAGGATTAGATGAGAAATGCCTGCCTTGAACTCTGAATCTGCTGTAGAGTGAAACTAATGGTTTCTTGTATAAAATTAAAATAAAAAAAAAGGAGGTTGCGTGGTGGTCACTGTGTGAATGAGTACTGGCCACTGCAGGAGAGGTTAATGGGGGACGAAAGGAATGTGTGTAAATTAACCCCGATCTCATTAAGAGGTTACAAATAAATAGACTATGTAGCTGTCCAAATTATTTGGATTTTTTTTATTTTTAAACCTACTGCTTTCAGTTCATGTTATCACACACGTGCAGCGTTACCCTGCTAAATTCTCTGGCCAGTACTGCAAGGATTAAAACCTCGGGGTCAGCTTGCTCTGTACGAGGTCTGACTCCCTGCTGGAGAAGGTGTGCTCCCCTCTCTGCAGCAGCCAGTGCCAGCCTTCAGCATTCCCTGTCAGCCCCTGTTTCCATACTGCTTCTCTTTCCTCCCAGTAATCCCTCTGCCTCTCTCTCCCCGCCAGGAGGGCCGGGTCTGCACGACCCCTGCGAGCGCGAGCCCACGGATGCTTTGTCTGACATGACAGTGCAGCAAAAAGAAGCCATTACACACAGTGCCCAGGTAGGACACCCTGCAGATGGACTGCAGCAGGGAGAGCGGCTCAGTTCTCCTCTGCCAGGGGAACTTATTCCATGGCAGTCCTGGCAGTTCCTGTGGGGTGCTACCCTGGCCAGGTTAACCCCAGTTCAGGAGTGCAGGAGTTCAGTGTGTGTGAGTCCCCTCAGGCAGTGGGATGCCTGTGCCCTGCTCACATCCCACCTCGGTGCCCGTGGCACAGAGCCCTGGGTGGGCTCCCCTCAGGGAGGTGCCCCTGCACCCTGTGTGCCAGGAATTAACCAGTTGCACGTTTTTGGACAGTGCCATTCTCCCCAGCTGGAGAAGCTGCCTCCTCAGAGGAGGGGGTTTGTGTCTACAGACTTATCTACAAACTTGGCCAGCTGATGTGCAGTCCTGCTGGGATGTAACCCCTGTTTCTCCTCTCCCCCTGCAGCATGCCCTCAGACTATCAGCCTTTGGGCAGATCTATAAGGTGTTGGAAATGGATCCCCTCCCATCCAATAAGTCATTTCAGAAATATTCCTGGTCAGTTACTGACAAAGAAGGTAGGTATCATTTGTTCCAAAAATCACTGATTGGGCAGTAATCTAGGGGTTAATTTAGAATGGGTGAAGTTCCTGAGTTATGTGCTGTGAATGTGAAGTAGAGGCTTTTCTTGGTGTTATATGTGGGGTGATGTTTTTTACAAATATTTCATAGTTAGGAGAAAATCTGGAATTTCTGTTCTCTAGAAATACCAAGAGAGGAGTAGGGGTACTGCTACAATATAGCTGATGAATTTCTTTAACCAGGAAGGCCTTTGGCATCCAAAGAGCAGAAGCAGTGTTTGATTCTTATGCTGGGAAGTAAAGACTGTAAACTGTCAGAAGCATATAATGAGTGTCCATAATAAGAATTACCCAAGGATTCTTCCTAGAAAACAATATACATCTAATAAGAATAAATTTCCACTTGTATTTTTTGTAAAAACAATACTAGTGAAGTTCTTGCCTTAAGAGTAACTGTGGAAAACAGCCCTGCAGGTTTGCAGGGCTTGTCTCCCACCTGGTATTGGCCACAGACATCCTGCCTGGCCTGGTGCACTGAGCAGTAAACCAATATTGGCTTCTGTGCAGCAATAAGAGAGCTGTGACTGATGGATGAGCTCTTGTCACTATAAACAAGCAAGGAACCGTGTGGGACTAATCAGACTCCTGCTGTGGAATGTTGTTTTTCTAATGGCATATCCATATTACAAGGAACTTTATACCCCAGGTACAGGCTCGTCTGCTCTGAAGAGACCCTTTGAAGACAGTGTCGGGGATGACAAGGATCCAAATAAAAAGATGAAGCGTAATCTGAGGAAAAGTAAGTGCAGCACTTCTCCATTCTGTTTTCAAAGATCTATTGTACAGGGGGAGCTGCTTTAAAAGCTTCTCTGTGTTGGTGTGGTAGAGCATGTGAAAAAGTCTTTGGAACAAAAAGATGTTGTCTCTATCACCCCGCATTTGGAATGTCAAACACATCTCTTACTGTGCATCTGAATTTCCCCTGACATGTTTTACTAACTGAATGATTTGCATTTTTAACTGGGATTACCCATCAAGTTACACTAGAATTGAAGTTGTCCAAGCAGCTGAGGGATTTTATTGATAATGTCCCTATACTGTGGGTTTTTCAAAGTACTGCACTGACTTTGCTGAGTGAAGATTGGACTCTGCATTATTACCCTTCTTGGTCTCCCAAGACCTCCCACAAAAAAAAAAATAAAATGTTTGATCTACAAAACGTTAATGTTGCATATAGGCACAGACTGGAAGTCTCTCAGCATTGCTGGGATCCAGTCCTTCTGGGGGCCATTTGCATTGTGCTACCTGGGTGCCAGCTCTGGACCTTGTTCCCCACTACCTATAAAACTTGTTACTCCTTTTATAGCAGCCAGGAAGAGTACAGCTAGCTGCAAAAGAGTTGTGTTAATATAAAAACCGGGTAATTATAGTTGCTACCCCAAATTAGACTTATTAAATAATATAGTTTATATTAAATATTATAGTTTATATTAAATGATATAATTAATCTTATTAAAGCCTTATGGCTCTCCTCAACCTCTGAGAGGCCAAGGGGTGGTTTTGCTCCTTGATACAAACAGAAGGCACTGAAATGCAAACTGTTTCATTTTTCTGTTCATCTTGTTTTGTTCATTTTCCTTCCCCCTCCTTCCCCCACCCTTTCTACTATCTTGTACTAGTACTAGATAGTAAAGCAATAGATCTCATGAATGCTCTGATGAGGCTGAACCAAATCAGGCCAGGGCTTCAGTATAAGCTGCTGTCACAGTCTGGTCCAGTCCATGCCCCAGTCTTCACAATGTCTGTAGATGTTGATGGTACGACTTATGAAGCATCAGGACCTTCTAAGAAAACAGCCAAGCTCCATGTGGCAGTGAAGGTAAGGCAGCCTCAAGTAATCTGCTAACCCCAGATCTTGGGACAGAGTATGAAATGTGGATAGAACTAGTAATATGAAACCTCAAAATCAAAAAACATTGGATGAAGCTGAGGTGCTTTCTTTGTGCTTTAAACATGGCTGGGCATGGTTCAAAGAGCATCACTGGTTTTGTGCTGTCGGGGGGCAGAACTTCCCAGGGCTCTGCAGGTCAGCTCACGTTGCAATGGACTGAATGTGGTGGTCAAGTCCTGGATGGGGGGATTCAGTTGAGTTCTGTTCTATTCCTTCCTATGTTGGTTTGGAAACAGCATGCTGGTGGCTCCCTCTTTCTCCCCTTCCTTCTGTCCATTCCTGGCTTGTGAGCACCTGGAAAGATGGAGTTGTTTCCTGGCCTCAGTGTCTGAAAGAGTACCTTTGTGTACTGGGAGGAGCAGTGGATGTAAATGATGGGTCTCCAGTCAAATTTCCACTAGGACTGTGGTCTCATTCTGGGACGAGTCAACCTGCTGTTCTTCTTGGGGGTGCTCTACATGACAGCAGTGGCAGACTGGAACACCCAGTGTGAGCATCTCCCACATGTGGTGCTTGGGGACGTGGTTCAGTGGGGGCTTGGCAGGGCTGGGGTAACCAATGGTTGGATTCGATGATCTTACAGGTCTTTTCTAACCTAAGTGGTTCTGTGAAAGAACCTCTGTTAACAGAACTTGCAGCTCTGACAGGAACAGGCCCATCTGTGTTCTGTGCTTTGTTTTGTTTTGAACAAGAATTTCCTTTTCAGAAGCTTCATCTGGCAACTTTCTGCTTTCCTTTGACTTCAGTTTTCAAAATCCCATTGTCCTATGTGCTTTCAAGTTCAAAGTGTCCAGAAGTATCTGAGGGCATGTGTTGTTCCTCCAGGAAAAGTAGCTCTCTGCATGTGTGTCCTTCCAGACCTTCTGCCTTATTCTTTTTATTTTGCCTCCCTCCCTGCAATTGTTAAAAAAAAGGCCCAAAAAACCCACTTGCCCTGAAAATCTGTGACTGCTCTGCCCTTGAACCTCTCTGCATCAGCCAGATCTGTGCTGGTGCCGACCCAGCTCCGTTTTCTCTAAATTTACACATCAAAACATCCACGATTCAAGCCAAGAGGAAATGGGTGGTGTGGTAGAGACTTGCTGTTTTTCTTTCTTTCCTTTCCTAGCAGATCCAGGCCCTGCCTTCCCACTCTTATAAGAGGGAATAATGTGACCATTTCACTTTCTAATCTGACCTCTTTAAAATGTAGAAGCCCTGAAAATGCAGCCAGATGTTCCCCGATGGCATGGGAGCTGAGCCTGGGGTTACCTGTGCAGTTCTCAGCTGAGGGTTGGAACAAAGTGATTTTTGCAGACTTTGTTCTTGGGACTAAATTTTCAGCAGGGCTTCAGGTTCTTCTCAAATTCCTTTAGCCTGGTAGCTCTGCACGGCTGGGTCAGGAAGCTGGTGAAGGGAGAGGCTGGCCTTGCTAGTGGAGCATGTTTTTGAAGGAACTGAACTCCAGAAGTACCATCTTGTACAAGGTTTTAATACTCACAAGACTGTTTGCCTTGTTTGCCCCACAGTCCATCTCCTGATCTGTCCATAGACACAGAGAGGGGAAACATCATGTGTGACTGGGCTTTTAAACAGTGTCTTTAATCTCTTATTTTACAAGGAATTCTCGAGATGCGTATGATGCTCATGAGTAATTGCTATCTTTGAGACTAAAATTCTTGTTTGTGTTGATTCCACTTTTGGAAACCTGAAATTATTTTCCCCATTGATACTGTATTCCCCACTGATATCCATTGAAATGGTTATCTCCATTTCAAATAGGAGAAAACTACCATTCTAAGCAATCTGCTTGTATTAAGTGTATGGTGGATGTTTTTTGGTGTTGTGATCAGCTTTGTATTTGTTCCTGTCCCGCTGCCTCTGTCACAGTTCATTTCCTGGGGCTTTGTTGTAGGTTTTACAAGCCATGGGGTATCCCACTGGTTTTGATGCAGATGCGGAGTGTGTGAGTTCTGATGAAAAATCAGATACTGAAGGTAAAAATGAAACTACGTCTTCAATCTCAAGCAATAATACTGGAAATTCCACAGCGGACACCTCTGCTACCCTAGAGGTGAGGATTGCCTGGAAGGTACAAGTGACAGAGAGATGTGGGCTTTGGGTTTTTGCTTTTTACTGGGTTTTTTTCCTGTTCTTGTCAAGATATTAAAACATGAATTTTTTCACTTGGGAGACACTTAATTTCCAGAGAGTGTGTTATCATGGATAACTCAAATCACATACATGTTTAGTCCACTGAGAAATTTCCAGGGAAAGGGGGTGTTTTAAACCCAACTGCCCTGTTTGTAACCGAGGCTGAGAGCATTCCATTGCAGGCTGATCCGCTGGTGTGCTGAGATCTCAGCTTTACCTTCCTTGCTCTCCAGACAGTAACAGATATTTCTGCTGAACACGTGACTCGGGGTATGAGACTCCTTCAGTCAGAGCTGGGCAGTGCCAGGCCGTAATTAGACAGAGCAGAGACGTGTGCAGGGTTGGGAAGGCCAGTCTGTCCTCTCGGTGATAAAGCCTTCCCTTTCAAGGAACTTGACACCACGGCCCCACCTTCAGCTCTGCATTCTCTCAGGGTTGTAGTTCCAAGTTCAGGTTGTGCAGGCACCAGACCGGGCCATGAGGACACTGCCCTCGCCAACAAACGGCTGTGACTTCTTTGACACCATTGTCTGTCCTCCTGCCCTTCTTCAGAGACTTCCCACGTGCTCTGCCAGCACAGCACGTCTTGCTGCAGCCAAGGCAGTGTTACCTGGGATACAGGTCTGCGCAGCTTTGGCCGCCTTTTGAAGAGATAAAGGCTCTAAAGTAACACCCTGAATGTCTCTCTAGGTAAGAACTCAGGGTCCCATACTCACAGCAAGTGGCAAAAACCCGGTGATGGAGCTCAATGAAAAGAGAAGAGGTCTCAAGTACGAGCTCATCTCTGAGACCGGGGGGAGCCACGACAAGCGCTTTGTGATGGAGGTGAGTGCAGCAGAGCTGCAGTTGGGGGGGGTTTATTACCATGGGTCAGAGCCCCTTGCTGCTGCAGTTCAGGGTATAGTGCAGGCAAGGATGTTGGTCTGTAAGGCATTGATGAAATCGAGGGGAGCCTCACGGGATTCCTGTCAAGGAAGGCTCCAGGGGATGGGCTAAATCCAGTATCCAACAGATACTGCTCCTCTCTGAATTGCACTTGTGGTTTCCAGATTCCCAGAATATGGGATACACTAGTTCCCAGGATAACCCTGGTATCCTTTACCAGCTTCATATCTAGAATGAATGGAAATTTGTCACATAAAACACAAGAGGATTTTTTCCTCCTCAGGTTCTCTGTGGGTGGCACCTCAGCCCAGTGGGTGCAGTATGGTATTCCCAGAGATCAATACCAGGCATAAACTCATGTCTCAATTTTCAGGTAGAAGTAGATGGGCAGAAGTTCAGAGGTGCAGGCCCAAACAAGAAGGTAGCAAAAGCAAGTGCTGCATTAGCAGCACTTGAAAAACTGTTTTCTGGGCCTAATGCAGCAAACAACAAGAAGAAGAAAATTCTTCCTCAGGTAAGAATTGTTACTTGCTTTTTGGACTCTGTTATCCCAGCTCTGGATTGTTTTTTGATACAGGAGGCAGCATTCTAGTAAAGTAAGGTTAACACAGGCTGCTGTTGTTGTGAGGTGGTTGTTTGTCTTTGGGGTGAAATCCTGGCCTGCTGCAGTGGGTTCAGGAGGGTAAGACAGAAGCCAAGACAGTGCTGTAGGTCGAGGAGAGGAAGCTTGTAAGGAGGTGGGAAAAGAGCAGGGAGGAGCAGCAGAGAGAGGGTCAGAAGCCAGTGGTGTTCAGTGCTGACCAAATGTGAGGTAAATAAGGGGGTGTGGGTGAGGGAACTGCTGGGCTCTGCGGTCAGTGCCCAGGCAAGGGGCCTGCTGTGTTCCTGTCAGTCACAGCCTCCAGCACAGACTGCTCCAGCCCGCGCCCAGCCAGCCTGGCACATCTGGCATGTTAAAGAGCTCTCTGAAAGGGGTCATTTAATGCAGGTGGCTTTGTATTCCAGCAACACTTTCACTCTCTGAATTGCTATTTTTTGTCACTCTGGGCAGACTAAAGGGGTTGTCAATACAGCTGTTTCTGCAGCAGTCCAGGCTGTTCGAGGCAGAGGACGAGGTGCTTTAACACGAGGGGCATTTGTCGGGGCAGCTGCTGCTACTGGATACATAACACCAGGTAAGGCACCACACTCAGAGCTGATACTTTAATTTTTGTCTGCCAGGGCATTCTTTTTCATGTGTGTCAGTCACCTGTGTAAGTGATTTCTTTAATCATCTGAGATGAAGCAGAAGGCAGAATTCATGGGGCTCTAAATAAATCAAAGAGATGGAAAGCTGGCGGTGCGTGTCCTTTAAAATGAGTGTACAACTTGAAGCTTGGTGTGCACAGAGCACAGCTATGGGCATAATGGCTTTCCTGGCTTTATTATTTTATGATTTGTCTTCTTCATAGTTCACTGCCATGGCACAATTCCCAAAACTCTCTTCCTACCTAAGAACCTCCTGGATCATGTGCTGTTTAGCATTAGGAGTGGCCTTCCCAAGAAACCCTTGTGGACATGAAGTCGGGAGGCTCCAGAGTCCCTGAGCTCCCAGAAACTTTCTAAATGAACTGCACCTGGAAGCATCTATCAGTAGCTTCTGTGGTGGCCAAAAATAAAGGAATTTCTGTTCATACTCTGGCTGATGTGGAGTCATGCATTGTTCTGATAGCAGAAACTGCTTTGGAAGTCCAAAGGCTTCTCGTTCCCATTTCACATTTAACCAAGAAAAAGTTAACAAAACGGACACTTTCTCCTTCCCCTTACTTTTCAAAGTGCATTTTCTTTGTGACTCTACAACATGCCTAAGGTTTGCAGATGACAGGGAGGGGAATCCAGACATTGTTTTCACTTGTTTTAAGAACCACAGATTTGTAAGAATGAGATGTTGAAGATGCCTTAGTCAAAGCAAATCCAGTAGCTTCCAGAAAATAACACTTACATTCCTCATGCTCAGGTTTTCAGATTACAGCATGAGCACTAATTACACCCTCCAGCAGCTCAGTGTGCCAACAGCACAGCCCTGTTGTTTGGGAGCCTTCCTTCCTGGCACAGTCAGCAGCCTGCCGTCTTCATTGTTCCTGTATGGTCATGTCATTTTAAATATTAAAAACCAGTAATTCATTTTTAATGGCTGTTAACATTGTTTTTGGAACTGTCTGTCTGCCTGAGGAGTCATTTATGAGACACTTTAACCTGCCAGGGGCATGCTTCTTGCCAGTGTGGAATTACTCCAGAAATAAGTTTAATTTCCCAGTTGCTGCAGTTAAGCTTTTATTGGCCTTGGCCTTCACAGATTATTTCTCTCCATCCTCTATTCTTGTCAGAAATCTCTTGCTTTTTGTGATGACACAAGCAATCTCAACAGAAAAAACCCCCGTAGAGCCTCCATGAACCACTGAGATGTAGTGACCAATGTTGGTGTTATCTCTGTTGCTTTTTGTCTCGCTCCAGTCACACTTTGCTCTCTGGGGGAAAACGATCCTGCTCTGTTTATGTGGAGGTGTTCAGGTGTCCTCTGGGGAACTTTGTCTGCGTGAAATGGCAGAGAAAGCAAAATTCACAGGAGCTTTACCAATGGGGATGTAGCATTTGTCACAGGCATCCAGCACTCCCCTCTTTATAATGAAAATTTAGGAAAATGACTGTTCTCTGCATAGACTGCACTTGTGTTTTAGGAAGCACATAAGCAAATACGGGATGTCTGGGTCATGCCAACTCTGTGCTCTGACAGTGCAGACTTGAGGGATTCAGCTGAAAAGAAAATGCTGAGGAAAGGAAATAGGGAATTTGATGCTGAGGCTTGAGGAAGTCCCAGAGTAGCTTGTTCTTCAGGCCACTGCACAGGATGTTGGTGCTTTCCACAGCACTTCCAGGTGTTGGTGTCTGTCTTTGCTGCAGTGCCCTGCAGGGTGCAGGTGTGCCTGACCCCTGTCTGTGTTTCCCTGCAGGCTATGGAGCACCGTATGGGTACAGCACAGCGGCGCCAGCCTACGGTAGGTACACACTGTCAGTAACACCCCGAGCCCGGGCACTACAGGGGGGGCCGTCCACGGGTGCCAGGGCCAGGAGAAACTCAGAGAGATTAAAGCTCTTAAACCATGACAAAACACTCTTATGCCATAACCTTGTGGTTCTTTTTTGGTTGGAGTAGCTTTTTGCCTCTGCTTTGCCTGGTCTGTGGAAGGACTGCTTGTTCTAATTGCCTGTTCCCTTTATACTGGAACCCAGTGGAAGTAGTTCCCTTACTTTTTACAGCCAACCCATGCTCCATTCAAAGACTACCGAAGGGCCTATTTCAGCATCTCTGACCCACATTTAGCTAAGTGGCATTACAGTAACATTGGTGAAATGTTTGTCCCCAAGTGTAAGTGGCTTGTGGACAAATCTCCCTTAATGCTGTCAACTCTGTGAAAGCTATGGGCAAATACACCCCCACAGGCTAAACCACCACTGCTTGGGACAACAGGATGGGTTTGGGTTGCTTGGACTGTTAGTGATCAGACTGAAGGCAGCCAGGACATGGTCATTTGCCACAATGCTTTTTACTATGAAACGTGTGATATTAGGCTGGCAAAGCACTGGTTTCGTGGAGATTGTAAAATGAGCTGATGACCAGAGAGCTGTGATGGAAGGGTTTTTCTTAACTTGGCTTCTCCCTCCCCACTGGCTTGTTTGACGCTGGACTAACAATGCATTCCTCTAACCGGCCCTTTTGGTTACTTTGAATGAGGTTTATGTGGCAATGGGAGCAGAGCAGTTTGGAGTCAGTGATATGTCCTGGCACACACAACTGAGCCCCCAGAACCAGTCCCAGCAGCCTGTCCCATGGCAGGGACTGCTCACAGCCTGCTGCTCAAATGGCCAGCACTTTTCAAGGCCTGCACTTTTTCCTATGGGAAACTTTGGCTTTTTAGCATTTGCAGTGCTTATTCCTCCCAAATCTGTGTCACTTGGGCAATGCCAACTCCCCTGATACTATTATAAAAGTTCAGAATATTTTGAAATGTTGATTTCATGACTTTTACAACAGTACAAGCTCTAAGAAGGGAAGAATGCTGCTGCTTTATGGAAAGTGTTTGTTTTGCCTGACTGGGACCAGCTGGTCCAATTCTGTACTGAAAGGGGATGGAGGATGGGCCCACGGGCTGCACTCAGTGTGGAATTCTCCTCTCAAAACTGGAGCAAACCTCTCCAGTTTTAGACCTGCTGACTGGCCACGTGCTCTGACAGAAGGGCAGCTGGCAGCAGGGCTGTCCCATGGAGTGTTGTCCTTTGTGGTGCATCACACAAGGAACAGCTACATGTTTCCTCAGGGAAAAATGAAAGGAAATTTAGTTTAGGGTATGGATTTTTAAAAAATCCCCTTGGTTCTTTCCAAGCAACAGTCTCAGAGGATAACCAGGATGAGTGGCATCTGCATGTCTGTATTTTTACAAGCAGTGACACACTGTGACATGTGGAATCCTTTCCCTGCTGCAGACAGGAATGCAACTGTTACCAAATTTCCTTGCAGCTTTTCTTGCTTTTTTCATTCATTCCTTCTGTTTTGTGGGATTTTTCCTCTTTTTGCCTATTTTGGGAGCTGGATTTTAAGCACTTAGCTGTGTATATGTGACATACCACTGACTTCAAAGCGTTGTGGAATTGGATGCCCCCATTTTTCACATAAAGAGTTTCTGTTCTTAATGTCTTATGATTGTGATGCGAAGTTCTGGGATAATGCTTTTTGGCTGTAAGGTAAACATGTCTCTTTGCCTTTGTAAGCTGTTGCATGTTGGGAAACTTCACTTTGATCATCTGGTGCTCTGGAATACCTGCTGTTGCTGCTTTGTGATTTCTAAATGGATACATAGGTTAAATACTAGAATTTAAATAGGCAAGATTAAAACACCAAACAAACGTTTAATTGTGCAGAAGTTTGTGAGGCCACAAGAACTCTAAAATAATCATGAAATCAGGCAGATGTTAATCTTTCCAGATTTGCCACTTCAATACAGGAGAGGGAATGCAGAATAAGGAAGCAGATGCAGAATTTACTGTAGGTGCTTGATTTTTGGCTGACCTACCTGGATGCTGATCAAAACTGCTGAACAGTTTCCCTGTGAGTTGTATTTTATGCACAGCAGTGCCTGTCTAGAATATCTGCAGTTGCAACTGGCCTGTGAAATGAACTCAGAACGAGCTAGTAGAGATTAATTACCATAAAGACCATGAAGTAGAGCTTCTGCTTTTGAGAATATCACTTCCTTTAATTTTACCAAACACCAGGACAAAACTAAAAGCAGACTTTAAGCCAACCATCTGTCTGAAATAGTGCAAAGTGGTGAAGTGTTACTGTTCACGGGACTCTGCACCCTGAAATCCCATTGACTGACTGATCTGGAAAAGGTTAATGAGAACACTACTGTAAGCTCTTATCTGACTTTCTTGGATTGCTGAACTTATTTGGAGTCCTCTCCCTTTCTTCTCTCTGTAGGTTTACCCAAGAGAATGGTTCTGTTACCAGTTATGAAATTCCCAACTTACCCCGTTCCCCACTACTCATTCTTTTAGCAAATGGCAGAAGCTAATTCCTATTGATTGAACAACACAGTACAGTACAGAATGTTAGAAGAAAAAAAAGCCTTTTTATCCTGTTTTCTTTGAACACATACTTGAGCAAAGTCATTTGTAAAGAAACATCTTTTTCCTACTTTTTGATTTTAACAAAATGCAAATTTAGTTCTCTAAAACTTGAAAAAAATGTTCTGTGAAATGTTACCTCATTTTCAAATAACTTATACCAGCCTTCTGTTATAGGGAAGAACTAGAAGCTTAAATCTTACGTTTTAAATGAAGTATCCGATTATGTAAAATTAAATTTGTGAAGGATGTATAGAATATAAAACACTGATCACAAATAAACTGTTTTGTTGTAACACAAGAGTACTGCCTGTTTCCTAATGCAGTCACACAGACTCAGTTAATGACCTGTACTTGCTGTAGGGTTATTAAATGCAGGGCATAGTTCTTTAAAAAACAAAAATAAAAATTAAAAAAAAAAAAACAAACCCACATGATAGAAACTTTACAGTTAACATTTAACTTTGTAAATATTATGGTGTGTAATAAACTTAGTAAAATCTGGGTTAAAATATTGTTTTATCTTATTTTTTATAGTTAAGCATCAGTACCTGAGTTTCCTTATAGATCAGCATACTGTAACTGTGACTTTAGACACAGTCTTAATTATCCAAGAAGACTTTTCACTCGTACACAAAATGCTGAAAAACAAACAAAACAAAGGGAATTAATCTTAGGCTGTCTCTGTAGAAGGCTGCATTCTGTGAAACAAGTATTAAACAAAGGAAGTTCCCACAGAAGGATTTGTTATGCAATTCCAGGGACACACTACTCCCGTATTGCCCAGAGAAAGGACACACTAATGTTACAATCAGGTTCTTCAGAGCTCAAAAGCTGCTTCTTTTCCTTTCTTTTCCGTTTTTACCAAAAAAAAGAGGAAAAAAAAGAAAAAAAAAATTGCACTTGTTCTTGTGGCCTTCTTCACTTTTGAGATTGTCTGCCCACCCTTGATTTTCCATCCACCATTTCTACAGAAAGCATTTTAGTTGTCAATTGTGTATTAAACCAAAGGTTCTCCTTTTCCCCCTTACATTTATAAGAATCTAAAGCAGCAACAAGGTCCCCATGAAAACTTGCTATTTAATTGTCCCAGTTCTTGTTGAGTGCTGCTGTGAAAAGTGACACACTTCAGCCATAGGCCAGTACTTTCTAAGAGTCGGTGCTCAAACCCAAAGAATCCTCTTTTCCATGAGGAGTGTGTGCACCTGTCTGAAATTCCAGGACAGGCCCCAGCTCCACGGTTGGAGTCTCCATGGATTGTGGACTGCTGTGGGCTCTGATGAGGGATTCCAGTGGTCTTTATTAAGGTATCACCCCACGAATCAGCAGCGTTGTTGGTTGCACTCTCTCCTCAGCCCTCACCCGTTGCTTTTCCATAGGTTGGCTTTAGTTCCTGCTCTTCCAAAGATTTGCCTTTATCCCCTGTTCTCTAACAGACTCTGCTGCTGAGGCAGGGGGAGCTTTGTATGTGACAAGGGTGTAAAACCAGTGCTTAAAGCAACGTAAAGTTCCTCCTCCCCCACACCCCCTTTAGAGGGAAAGAAATATTAGAAAAGCTGAATAAGGGGTGGCTTACAGAACAAGCTGCTTTCCTTGGAATTAACTGCAGCTGTTATTCTTAAGCTAAGTATTTGTGCTTAGGAATGTGTTTCCATTTCACTGGGTTTCCTTCTGCCGGAGCTCTCCCGCCCTTGGTGCTGGTGGTACTTTAATAAGACGTAGATTCCTGGCCAGGAGGGGTGAGCCTGGCGTGTCCCCCCGCGGCAGCGGGAGCAGAGCAGGGCCTGGGGGTGGACCCAAATTGAGGTGCTCAGAAATCACTGATCTGGTTTGCTGGCCTATGGATGAAAGGAAGCCATCACGGAGCAGAAAAAGCATGGCTGATCAGAGCCCATTTTTGTTAATCAAATATTCATTAAAGGAATCTTTCCTCCACACACTTCCCCCCCCCTCCCCTCCTTTTGGAGTTCCCCTAATTGGCAACTGTTTGTAGTTTCTTTTTTTTTTTTTTTCCTGAATCCCCAGCTTTGTAAAATTTCAAACAAAATATTCTGCGAACCAATTCTATACCATGAACATTCGTAAGCCAAAAACTTGTTCTTATTTCAAAGACAAGAAGGGCGCTATGCTCTTTTCCAACATGATGGCAGTCATTTCAGACGATTTATAGAAGTCATTTTTTACTTTTTGTCATTTGTTGGGAGTTACTAACCACATTGTAAACTTGCCCCCTTGCTGCATATTTTACATTTCTCTGCTTTACTGAAAATATGAATGAGCTGTCAGTTCTTTGTTTAGAAAGTGGTAACCTTGGAAGTGTTAGATGTTTCAATACCTTCAAAGAATTCAAAGTGCCCATTTTACAATGAAAATTCCACTTGCAGCTGAAAGAGCAGAGAAATTTAAATGGAGCTTTAGCCTCAGCCAGTCTCAGCAATTAACGTGAGGTTTTTGCTTCTCTGCTCTTCTCCCACTGTAGGTGGTTTTTTCATTGACAGTCCCTATTGCCAGCCTCTCAGCATCGCACCTTTTATTATTCACTTGGGCCCTCAAGATTTCTTCTCTGACTTCTAGAACCATCAGGTTGTGTGGCTCCAAATGGCATTTTGTACATGTCTTAAAAGCAAGAAAAAACGTGGCTCGTTTTGAGGTTTCTCAACTTCAGACATGGAATCTGAGCTTTTTTCCTTTTTTTCTTTTTTTTTTTTTTTTAAAGTGTTTTTCTCACTTCTTGAACTTTGCTCCATGTAACAAAAAGCAATACTTAGTCCAAGCCACAGTCCTCTCTTTGGGTACATAGCAATAGATGTGTATATACTTCTGGTTATTTCTTTACACTGAAAGGGAAAGACTGGTGTGTCGGGGGGGGAAACCAACCACCAAACCAAGGCACAATCCGGGCCGAGTGCTGCTTCAAGCAGTGACATCTGCCTGGACTTCCACTCCTGAAGTCCCTCCGGATTTTAATACTCTGCTGTATTTGCATGTCTCCTATCCAAGTTGCTACAGAGCCGTGCAATGGTCCCTCCTGAAGCAGCAGTGCTTTGTACCATTGTGCATGTCAGCAGACATGAAATGTAGCAAAAAAAGGTAGAAGAAAAAAACAGAATATATATTTTTTTCCAAAATGTAACTAAATGATATCTTCTCTCTCTCTCTTCCCCACATCATTGATATGAGGCACAAAAAGGGTAGGCCTAAACTGGAAAGTCAAGTGGATTGCTTTTGTGTCTCTTAAAAACCATCACCAAATGATAGGAAAACACAGCATTTGGGAAACATCCAGTTCAAAAAACTTTGCTGCTCTAAATTTACAGAGGTTTTTTTCCTCTTGAATATTTGTATGTTGATACTTTGAGATTGTCAATCAGCAATAATTGAAAGGTGAATGTTTTTTTAAATGGTATTGGAACATCTATATGTTGCAGCTTAAGACTTCTAAGCAGTTTTCAGCAGGTTAATTCCACTTTATTCTCATTCTCTCCGGACCTTCATAGCCATATGCACTTGTATAAAATAAGCAGAAATGTAGTGACTGTAAGCTGAGATCCTGATATAAAAGGTAAGAGATTTTATTTTCAGCTTAAAGAATATTTTTATTGCTTTTTTTCTAAGAATCTCATATATCTGTGACAATCTTGTATATGGCGTGTTTTTATTATGTCTTGTTTAACTTGGTGTTTGAAGAGGTAATACATAGGTCTGAATCCCAACTTTGTATTTCTCAAGCCCAATTCAAATACCCCCAGTTAAGAGAGAAAATATTACCTAACGCTTTTAAGAAATTGTTTGGATTTATCAACAGACTGTTCTCCTTCAAATATTTTTCTCTTGTGTAGCATAGAAAGCTGTACTGATACTGCTCTGTCAGGCACTGCATTCCCTGCATCCCTGGGGATACCTCTGGGTAGGTACCAAAGCCAGGCTCTGAAGGCCACCCCTTGGTTCTGGGGATGTGGGATGGGTGACACTAACGAACTGGTAACGAGAGAAATTATTTCCCTAAACTATTCAAGCTAAACTCCAAATTAAGAAGGAAGGACTTTGATGATATTACAGTTAAAATCTGCAGAGATCAAATTACATTAGGCCAAATTAATTCAGGAAGCAGCCAAGTTTGCTTCCCTCCCGCGGGTGCAGAGGAGGGGAGGAGGGCAGGCAGGCAGGGATTTATCTCTGCGTGAATCATTTGCTTAGCTGTGGTTTTCTACAGCTGGAAATCAGGATACAGCCATCCATAAATAATTGTTTTCAGTTCTGTACTAAATGTTTTAACACATTTTACTTGGATTAAAATGGGTTTGGATTATGACCCATTGGTGCACATGATATGTGTAGTTTTAAAATACTATTTTTTTTATTTGCCTTTTAAACCTTGCGTTATGCAAAGTTGCATAGTACAGAACTGCAGAAGTGCAGTACTTGCAGAACTTGAAGTTGCTGGAAACAACTCTTTTTATATAAAAATGCTTAAAAAATAAAAAAGCAAAAGGGAGCAAGTTGATGACGATGTAGCAGCATTTTAGGGTCTCAATTCAGTGATTAAAACATAAACCCTGTGACTGATCACAGTTTATAACAGTATCGAGCAGACTTGGTACAGACTATCTGCATCAAAATTCAAGAGCAAATATAAACTGTGTTTGATTTTAATACTGAGCCATCAGATTCACTAAATGACTGTGTGTGTAGGTTATCCATAGCTCAGGACATGTGCACAGAATTCACAGGCTGATAAAGAGCTGCTGCTCCTGTGGGCAGGAACCTGAGCTCGCAGGTGGCACCTGGGGAACTGAACTTGAGGAGCTGTTGCAGGGGCTGGCCCTGGCAGCACAAACCCCTTCACTGACACTTGCAGGACAGCTGGTGAGCCATCAGAACGTCCTTCCCGCTCAGGGGTGCAGGTTTCCATCTGTTATCTTCCAGGTACAAACTCGGGGCTGGGTCTGACATTCCCTTAAAACTGGGCTCATTTTTCATCCGGCCCGGCCCGGCAGTGCTGATCCCAGAGCAGCAGCTGATCCCAGAGCAGCAGCTGATCCCAGAGCAGCAGCTGCTGGGCCTCCTTCAGACAGGAGTTTAGATGCATTAAGGTGCATTATAATGAACTTCTCCTGAGTATTCCTTTCCTAACTGCTGTCAGCCTGACAAGCACTGTCCAGTTCAAGGACTGATAATAAACATCTTGCCGACTCTCATTTGATTTGCTTCTTCATGGACTGTGCTTGGCAGCTTAATCCATCTGTGTTTCTTTCCATCAGAATTGCTCTGACTGAATTTCCCTGTTTTTCTGCCATCATCCTTTTAACTCTTGCAATCCTAAGTACTCCACTCTCCTGCTGGTTTTTTTTTAATTCTTTGTTAGATCTTTTTTCTCTAAATTTCTCTAAAACACTGTTGTTTGTAATGCAGTACTTATGTCTGAAATGTCCCCTTGCCTGTGCTGCCTCCCTTCACAGTCAGAGAGAACCTTTTCCTGACATGTGAAACAGGGTACTTAAGACTCCTGAATCCTGGGTTCTGCAGCCACTTGGAATCAGAGATCAGACCCAAGAATGCAGGATTGCCTGGGAACCCCTCTCACTGAGCAAAATAGCCCCATGTATTGAAGGGTCACAGAGTAGGCTTGTAAGTGCCTCCTGATGCTCTGGCATTTGAGAGAGCAGCGAAATTCTATCAGTAGGTTTTAACCTAACTGAAGTATCAGGCTATTATCTGATGAGTAATTTGGGTAACATCTGCTTCATCAGTGTTGCAACAAGCATGTTTTGCCAAGGCAGACCTAGAAACTCTTTTTTGCACAATGCTTGTGGGTTTCCTCTGAAAAGCCTCCTCACAGCAGCGTGGTTCGAAGTGCCTCTGCTGCGAGGTTGGAGGTCTGCATTAGGGCTCCTTTGTACTTCTGTGTGTGCCCAGCAGCCAAACACGTGCCCCCGGGTCCCTGTGCTCTGTGCAGCTGCCAGGACCGCTGCCCATTCCGCAGCACCTTCCCAGGGAAGCACAAACGTTATTTCACAGTTTGAATTTCTGGTTCATGGAAAAGAATTCTGAAGAAGTTCCTTTCAATTAGTACATCTATAAATAGGAGACCAGGGAAAGTCTGTGCCTGTACACTACCCACCTCAACGCTAGTTTTAGCTAACCAGATGATCGTGTGTATTTTGGGAGATGGTGTCTGGCACTTAAAGGATTAAAAGAAGCTGGAGATTTACAATAAGGAACTGACCTGTTTGATCTGTTATCTGTACTGGAGGTGAATGGCACTGCTATTGACTTTGGAGTAACATCTGTGAGCTCTGGGGGTCTGCTTCAGTCCTACTTTGCCAGCAACAGGAGATTCCTCCAGCCACGTTCTAACTAGAGGAGGTTTTAGAGTAACCAGACTGGTTTGGAGGGCTTGGCTGGCTCAAAGCATGGGCTGTGATGCTTCCTGCCATCGTGTCCTCTCTCTGCCAGTGCTTGCTGTCTTCCCCAAGCACACATTCAGGACTTGGAACATGGTGACCTTATTCCTGGGCGTGGTGCCAGGTGGATGGAGGGAGGCCAGCCCATGCTCATGAAGGGAATGTGGAACACGCGGCCTCGGTTGCCCAAGCAATTTCTGTTGGACACAGTGCCCAATCCAACCCTCACAAAGGCAATTTAGTGCCTGGGTAGGTGGTTCCTAATCTGTCTAATTTGCTGTCATGTAGCCAGTGTGAGCTAATTAGATGATTCAGCAATTGTCATGGCTCCCATTTAATGTGCTGTAAATGCTGCTGCCACAACTTTCTCTGCTGTTAAATACCTTTGCTCCTGTACTCTGTCCTCCTGCCCTGCCCTTCCTGATCACCTTCTGGTATCCCAGTAAATAGATGATTCTCTCAAATGATGCAACTGTTACACAGAAGTGTCTAGATTCTTAAAAACTTTTAACCAGACTATGAAGCACTTCAAAGAAACTAGTTTTGCTACAAATATTTCAACTTATTCATGTGCCAGGGGACTATTTCTACTCATTTACAAAGATCTGAAAACTAGTCCAGGATCTCTGATCTCTGGAGACAAGGATTCTTTCTTTGAGAACACTTGCCTTCTAGTAGGAAAAAAAGATTTAAAGTGTGTCATACTCAATAGAGGACTGTGCCCTCAAGCCCCTGAAAGAACTTAATTGGGAAAAAGTGCACAAATCTAAAATTGAGGCTTTTTGCTTTCATTGAGCTACTGAGAATAATTTCCCTGACAACAAGGTCCTCAGATTATTAGGAAGTAGAAAATACAGGAGGAGGTGCACGGAGATTTTTCAGCTAGTCTAGGAAAAAAAAATCTCCTATATGTTGGCTGTTCAGCTATGGAACATCAAACTCTTGTCATTTCTTAATCTCCACAACAGCAATAAATGTGAGCAGCTTTAACGTGCCATCCCTGATCCAGTCCCAGCAATGCCCCAGGAGAGTGAGCCTGGCAGTCCCTGTCTTTTCAGTCACCAATTCCCTGAAATGAAGTGTCCCTTGCTTCATTTGTAATTCTGCATCTGCACTTCTGAGAGCCAGTCTAGAGGTGGGATTCCTGAACATCTCTCCAGATCTGTACAGATGAAGAGCAGGCAGACAAGACAGTACTTCAGTCTTTACTCAGACAAAATGGCAGGTTTCCCTCTCCTCTTGTGCTTGGTGTGCCAAGATATGCTCACTCGGTATTAGAACTTCTCGCCTTTAGCTAAATTCTCAGTAGACAGCTGCCTGTTACTCAATCAAGGGAAAACTATGTCCCAGCTTCCCTGAGTTCCAAGTCACAGAAGCAGCTTACAAAAACAGCTCCTATTTCCGGTGGCTCTGGGAAACAGCACAAGAACTCTGTGGCTGCAGATTCCTTTGGATACATGATGGGATGTGTAAACATGAAGTTCAGACTGTTGTTCTCAGTCGTGAAGCTGCCTAAGACCTCCCCTCTCTGGCATCAAAAGAATGAAAATGAGCTCTGTGCTGGGCTCACTGAGGAGCTCTGTTAGGAAGGACTGCTCTGTCTCAAAAAACAGTAACTCGGCTCCAGTGTTCAGCACACAGACCCTCTCGGGCTTCCTGCTGAATAATCTAGTGAAAAATGAGACACTTTATTGACTTGTTTAAAGCAAAGCAAAGGGACAGTGTAGTTGAATCTGCTGTCTATACAACAGGAGACAGCTTGTCTAAGGGCTCATTGGGTTCATTCCACTCTCAGAGGAAATTCTGCTCAAGTCATTGTAGAGCAATTCATGGGAGAAACTGGGCACAGAAGTCCTGGCCCTATGGACCATGGCAGCAGGTTCCCCTGCCCTTTCTTTGCAACACCATCCACATAAGCCAGTAGTGAAGTATTTGGCATTAAAAGAATTGTTACCATGAAGCTGTTTCATTACTTAACTCCAGAGTTATGTCTCCCTAGCTTTATTTGTGTCATCTAAATCCACACTTATTTATGTCCAGGTATCCTACAGCTCCTGACACATCTTCCTTCTTCCCATCCTGCTCACAATAATGGGACTGATTCACTTGTTGGTTTGTAGCTGCCGTGTGAGATAACATAAAAGCACAAGTAGGACACATCTGCCTGTTCCTCTCTCCAGGGTCTCTTAGGAGAAAGGGTGCTCTTTCTGCCAGGCCTGTCTGATGCTGTGCAGGCAAGGCAGTGCTCCACTGTGAGTGGTAGGAGTTAGGTAAGAGAAAAGGTCATCACACAGTAAGACTTAAATAAAGTGGGGATTTTCTCCAATTCCTGTGACTGCATGAAACATTCAGACCACGTGTTTTACCTTGATTTTTACGAGGAGCTGAATGTCCAAAAGTGGTGTGTGGGGATGTGCAGTTCTAAAGCAGATCTCTGAATTTAGATGTTGTTTTATCTTGTATTTGGTGCCTTAACGCTGTACAATTTAAGGTCATATATACTATACCACAGGTAGTTTAGTAGTAATACTTGAAAAGAACCCATCAAGCCTAGTCTACAGAAACTCTTGCACAGACTGAAGCCTTCTCAGGGGGAGAGTACTCTTCCATGTTTAATTAATAATCTACCAATAAATTAGAGTTGTAAGAATGTAAGAGCATATAAAAATTTTAACCACAGAGACTGAATTTATCTGATTTCTAACTTCAAAGGTTTGGGGCAATAAGATAATTAAAGCTACAGTCTCTTCTATGCTGTGTAAGTAAACAACATCAAAATGTTTTCTCACCAGCCTGAAGTGCATGTTGTGAAAACCTCTGGACTGTTATCTCTACTAGAACAAATAACACTTAATTTTAAAAGGCATTAATTGAATGTAACTGGCTGTCCTTCACTCATTAGTACAGGGGAGCTGGAATGAGTAAGAGTCGCAATTCATTTTTAACTGATTAAACTTCAGCCTCATTCCTGCCTCTTACCTGGATGTAGAAGCTCCAGCTGCCTTATGCTGCTCTGCAGTTCATGAGGTGTAGTGCAGCTCCTGCTCGAACACACCATTTCTGAACGCTTCTGGTCCTGGCAGAACGGACTGCGGCGAGACAGAGAGAAACATGGAAGTAGAACGTCTTTCTCCAGTCTCAGGTAGAGATCATAGATAGGAAGCTGGAGGGAAAGTTGCACTGCTTTTTCCAAGTCCATTAAGAGAGTCTGTGGTTTATGTCTGCTGTGGAAAACCAGCAGCTTTAGTGTTCTAAAAGCAGGGGCAGACGGTATTGCTTTTTCAATAGTTAGTAAGAAATAAGAGGTTTAAGCTATCCATACAGCTAAAAGCTGATAGTGATGTTGCTACAGGAGATTAATTTTTTTTTCTGTTCAGAAATGAGTCCAGGATTGCAGGTTTTCCAGAGGAGGAACACGAGAAATCCAATCATCAAATTCTTTTTCCTGATGCAACCCTACCCAAAATAAGGAGGCAGCTGCAGGCAGTGTATAGAGCATGCAACTGAATTTTGGGAGGGAAAGGAATAATAGTAATTTCCCCCTAAAGGAATACTAGTTAGTTATTTCTAGAGTGCCCAGAGTATTCTAGACAAGCTACCTTTACAAAAAGGAGCAAGGCAACAAGGGAGAGCAGGCACTGCTCCCACAACCACCTGTTGTAATGTACCAGGTCACCAATATTGGTGTAACTAGTTATGACAAAGTAGGTTCATCTTACCAGCAAAACGTATTTTGACATTCTATCCACTTCTGTTTTTTAAGCTAAAGGGGAGTTAATCATAGCACTCATCTGTTTCGAAGGGAGTAGAGCAGAAGGTAAGTTTTAACTTCATACTTCAAAGCTGCTATGAATAGATTAACAGTGTTCCATGGAAACAACCTGATATACTTTATTTTCTTTGTGCTCCATTTCTGCGTTCTTGGAAAAGCACAAGCTTGTGTAAGCATAATCAATACAAAGTTACTCAGGGTACTGCATCATCCCAGCAGTGGACACTAACCACATCTTAAGTCAACAGGCACATATAAATCAAGCTTAATTAAGAGGAACAGGACATCTTGGCGAGTTTTGTTTTACTGCTGGCACTGCTACAATTTACTGATCTATGCATACCAAAATGTGTGTATTGCTGCACTCCCAACAGAACTGAGGGAGTTCTGTAAGGGCGTCCTGTAAACTCACAGAGTCAGTGTAGGAGAGGCAGTATTTATTCTTCTTTCATTATTTCCACAAAGAACTGTTTCTGAGCAGATGGAAAGTGATACTGCTCAAAGGAGAGTAATGGTGGGCTGGAGAACAGCATTCAGAGCAGTACAGCTTTTGAAGAGTTAGTGATCATATGAATTTAATTATGAAAATTCTGATTTGCTGTACAGATTATTTCCTGTGTTTTCAAATTCATATCACTGCTTCCCTGCTCAAAAATAACAGGATAAAGACAAGTGTAGTTTTCTAATAACATCTATCGCATGGAAATCCACGTCCACTGGAGGAAAAGGGAGGCTGTACTGCAGAGAGCATGTTCAACTACAGAGCCATTCTCTGGGCAATGCTGCATAATTTAGGAGTGGGTAAACACGCCTTCAGGGACAACATGGCACAGAGCAGATGGTTAAAACAAAAAATATCACAGAAAAAAGCCTCAAAGCTTTGTCCAGTCATACATTCAGTGTTCCCTGCCAAAGGGACAGGTACATTCACACGCGCTTAGTGAGTTACGTGTCAGGCATCACAAAGGTCCTTAAGGACAAACATTTTGGAGCCAGTCTCCTTTTGGACAGAAAAGGGAGGAAGTTGACTCTGTCTTCCAGTTCCAAGGTGCAGTGTCTTATTTCTAATCCTAACCCTAAGTCAATATTTATTGATCCAACTGACTAAGCTTTTTAGGCCGACCAGCTCTCTGCGAAGCAATTCTGTTCTCTTGAGCCTCTGCAGGGGCCAGTAACTGGTGCTTAACTACTGCTTCCACTGCGGAATGTCACCGTCCTCCAGCTGCCCCAGAGCCAGGCTGGGACACTTGCACTTCTCAGAGAGCAACACTGCTGGGGTGGGGGCTCTCAAAAGCACTGAAGTACTACAGCAGAGCAAGTCCCAGTGGGCTGTGTGCTTTTTAAAGTCCTGTCTAGCTCTCAGTGACAAAGTTGAGCATGAAACCTGTGCTGCCAAACGTACCAGCCCCTTGCTGAGGAGGACATCGATGGGAAGCAGGCTTGGAAGTGGAGATTTTGAGGAAAGGCTGTCGTTTTCCAAATCCAGTCATAGGCTTTTTTTTTTTTAATGGTTGAGCTTTCACCCACCAAAAATCACCATCAATCAAATCAATTAAAATTGCTGCTAATTTGGGTTAAAATATCATCACCTTTGTATAACCCAAACCACCACCATCCATCCATCTAAATAATTCCTAAGCAAAGACTCCTCAGGAGGCAGAGCCCTTCTGACAGGAAATCTGGCAGTGCAGTATGATGTGACTTCTCTGATGACAATTCCTTCTCCAAGACAAGGAAAAGACAGAGGCAGTGCTTTGGGGCAGTGTTTCATGCTCAGCAAGTTTGTAGAGAGAGGGAATGCAATTCTATAAATCACTTGTACTGTATTTCTGTTTCTAGACTTGAATGAATTTCACTTTTCCTTTGTGGGTCAGCATAGTAAACGTTAAAGAAAAGATCTATTTTTCTAAATCTCTTTCACCAATAAAGGTCTGACCTGCAGCCAACAGATGGATTTATTTATCCATAGAGGATGGAGTGTTTATTTTTACACTAAGATTGGATATGGATTGAATACAAAGAAGTATGACCTTTAAACTATCTAAACCTGAAGTACTATGAATGAATTCCACAAATGAGTAATATGGTAGACAATTCAATCTTTCTTCCCAATAAATCTCTATCAAAAGAAGTTACCCAGAATTAAACTTCCAAATGAAGTACAAGAGATCCTTGTGGTCTAATTACAGACCACTTTGAAAATCCTTCAGTTTTCTCCCAATTTGTAATCAGTAAAGAACAATGATGATGGAACTATTCCTGACTATGATCTAAATAAAGAAATTTCAAATAAAGTAATTTGGCAACAACCATAGCTATTTATAGCATTAAAAATGTGATCTGAACATCCAAATCTTCTTAATTTGGAAGCAGTTGAGTGGGAAGAAAAATAACTGCACACTGAATTTTAAATTGAGCTGTCTCTACTCACTAGCCAAAAAAGCCTGCAAATGTCAAGGGAATGCTCTCTGTACATTCAGCTGCTTCCTTCCGTGCTGCTGTACCGTCCACTCGGCTTCATTTGGCTTCTGTGCCGTGGTTTGTACGCCACCACTGTTCCTGACTGTACACAACAGATCTGCACTGTAACCTCGGGTCATTTGCCACTGATTGTAACCCAGTGCTACAGACTTCTCTGTATAGAAACCAGAACCATGTCCCATTGCTTCCAATAGCTCCAATAAAGGCTTATCTCTGCAAACAGGAATCACGGCCTAATGATTGGGTTGGGGGTTTGGTTACAGAGAGGGAACTGGCTTTAAGGGATTTCTGAAGCCTGGGAAGCCAAACCACAGAGGTCCATGAACCTGAGTCTGAGTCAGGTAACAGGCTCAGCAGAAAGGGGAGACAGGCTTCTGAAGGCTGCAGTGTTAGCAGAGATGGAGATGTAAACAGAAGACACATTTATGCTGGACCAAGCAGAATGCATTCCTTCACGGAGGTGAGAGTGAACAGAGCACACAGGACTGCAACTGCGCAAGGGCTGCTGCACACAACTACCTCTGGGGTTTGCCTTGGAAGCAGTTACAGAAAAGCCCAGAGAAGGCTGTGATGAGATTAGCCAGGAAGGGAAAAAAACTGGGCAATTCCTAGTATTTAGCTAATTAGAAACACTGGATGTCTATTTTCTAAAAAGATGAACTCCCTGTACAAAGAACAAGTAAGGTTCTCTCAAACTTTTTTCTTATCCTGGAATATACAAAGTATGTCCAAGTGTCTAGAGTTACAGAACCCAGTTTTACTCTTGAAGGGAAGCTAGAGAAGACATTTAACATATACTCTTACTGTTCTTAGAAGTCTATTTTCCAGTCTTGAAATGCTGAATTAAAGTCTGAGTGCAGAGGTCATTAATAAAATTTAGAAGAGATCAAACTTAAGGATTAAAAAGTGTTGTAAGCTGACTATAACAGAGAATGCTTTTAATAAAATGAGATGTCTGAAATCCCACAGCTCAGCATACGTGATGACTGGCCCAGGACTTGGTGTGAGACTCCCTCGACAGGACAGTGTGCAGCCAGCCCGGTCTGCTGGTGTGCTGCAAACAAGTCAGTTACGCACAGAGAACTGAGAGACCAACACATCTCTTAAAATTCAGAGCTGTATCAAATATTTAGCAAGTAAGATCCACAAAGAATTGAACAGGCAGTTAAGAAAACATCATTAACACTTGGCTGAAACTGAAGTTTTACCTTCTGTATCAGCATAATGCCAACCTATGCACATGCCTACTGTCAGCAGGTTTACCAAGAGGCCATTCCGAAAGCTCCCTTGGGATTATCATCTCGGAGGTGCTGAGAAGGCCAACAGCTCTTCAGCAGCAGCCTGGCAACTGCTGGTCAGTGGAACGAGCTGGGCCCACTCCAGGAGCTGGCGGGCATTCTGTGGCCTGGCAGGAATGGAAGAGGGGCTGACAAGGGAGTGATGCCCAGGAGTCACACAATACTGGGGCTGGATTGATAAAGGAGGTTGGCACATCCTTCTTTGTTCACTGTGAAAATGCCTGACATCTCCCACAGCTATATTCCTGCCCTGCTGTAGCTAAGCTCAGTTTGCCCAGGCAGTGACAGGGTGTCTTGCTTGGGAGAACAGGGAAACTGTGAGCTGTGGCCCCTTGACCTCCCCTCACCCCTCCAAACCAACATACACCCACATCCATCTACTTTCTCTGGGTAACCTGCAGTGCCTCTCACTAGGAATCTGCACGTGAATGCACACAGTGAAATCTGCAGCAGAAAGCTCCTTCAGCATTTTCAGGCCCTCCCCAACACTGCTTGACCACTCCAACCCCATCCCTTGCTGGCACGGCACTGAAGGGATCCATGCAGAAGGAACCATCTGCTTAACAAGCAGGATGCCCAGTTTACCTTGCTGCAACCAACATCACCTTGGAAAAGTGATTACACAGGAAGCAGGAAAAAAATATTTATTGACTGATGTCTAAGTAACAAGCCAGCTTGTAACTTCCAACTGCTGCATCTATAAACCTGCCCAAAACAGCACCCCTCTTTCTGCCAGAAGTGACACCTCACTTAATCGCTCACGACATTGTGCTGACTTTGGGGGTTTGCTGCAGGATTGAGTTCCAGCAAGTCAGCTAGAAAGAGTTCTTTTCTTTCCCATTTGCTAAGCTGTAAATTATCCTTCTCTTTTGTGACCCCAATCCTTGGTACAATCAACTGAAAGTAACTGGAGCTGCCACTGCTTTCAGGGCCCTAAATTCATCTTCAGTTTGGGCTATATGTTCCAGCACAGTTATTTGCAAAGCTGTAAAAGGCCTGGGTGTATTCTTGTTACAGTTACAACAAAAGGCCCTTTCTGCTCCAGGCACCAACATGGGGCAAAAACCTAAAAAGGCCTCTGGATCTCAAAAAAAGGATCACATACCCTGCACAAATAACACTTTCCTCATCCCCTTGGTGGCATACACCAAAGGTGGCATTTCCTGCTCACAGTAAAGGCAGGCTCAGCTCTCTGCTGATTATGATTTATTCAAAGAGTTGTTTTTTTTTTTTTTTTAAATCTGGGTAACTTTGGATTACAGTAGAAGAGGGAAGGCTAAACCAGGGCAAGATGACAAACTACAGCTCAGTAAATCCAATTATGTTGCCCTGCAAAGCAGTTCCACACAAACTCCTATACTGCCAATACTGCCAATACTGCAGGTCTTGAGGTAGCCACAGGATTCCTGCATCCAGCACAAAGCAGACACGTGGACAGGGGGCTGAGCTGCACAGGTCTCTTACCCTGGGTTTAATGAACAATGTCATTTTGAGAAAGATGCTGTTACATGTTGAAAACGTGCAACTTCTTCTGTCTGTACGTTAAACTGTTCTCACTGAGATCAAATGAATGATGACTTGAATAGAATTTAGAACTTGTCAGTTATACTAATTAGTGGCCTCCTCACTCTGTCCTAACCACAGAAATGATCAGCACCTGTAAATTCTAAAGACATTCAGAGTCCAGGCTGCTGAGGAAGTGGTGGCCCCTGAAACCAGGCTATTCCTGCAGTTCTGAGGCTGGGGGTACCCAGGAGCTCTAGTTTGCTGTTCGTGTCCGCAGCAGCAGCCATGGCATCCATAATTCACAGCAGTCTGCACAGGCTCCCACAGCCCCTCTGGCTGTGGGTTTGCACTGTACCACACTAAAATCACCTCAGGGAGACGCACAGTTGTCATCACACAGAAACACCATCCTTCCCCCTCCGTGCTAGACAAGATCTTGTTCCACGAGTGATTCCCTGGGGGATTATGCAGCAGTCCTACCATGTCCTGGGTAAGCAGAGAGCTCAGATACACATTGCTCTGTAAGTCACCAGCCTTCATCCTTCTCCTCTTTCCCACCCCTTCTCTCTGGTGTGTATTAAATTACTGTAAAACCACTTCTTTAAATGAGCATAAACATTCAGGACACAGAAGGCATTAAGCTGCTTCCCTTTTTTCTTGTCAGCCAAGAACTGTGCCAAAACCACGTTGGTTTGCTGGGGTGTTCTTCAAAGAACCGGTACACCCCCCTCGCTTACACTGTGACAGCTGACAGTGGCACAGCACTGTCTCATCTCAGAGGGTCCTTCGCTACCTTTTCTCAGACACAGCAACCGAATAAAATCTGCACAGCAGTTTTCTTTTCCCTGCGGGGCATAAACTGACCAGCCAGATTAGTAAACCCCATATCAAGAGTTATTCCAGTGTCCCCTCCCTAGCAGCTTTTCTGACTGTGGCTCCAGGGCTCCCCTTTCCCCTGGATGTGACAGCTCCCTGCACGAACAGACGCTCACAGCAGGGAGTTTAAACACACAGCTTGGATGTTTTCATGGCACACGCTAACTGTGCTCGGCATGGGGAGGGCTCCTGCTCAGAGCTGGCAGCCTGCAAGTCTCTCATCACTTCTGCACCTTCTGGAGCCTCAGAGCCCACAGTGGCTGCCATTCCATCTGAAGCACAGCAGCACCTTCCTAAAAATCGCAGCTTCTGCCACACAAGCTGTTGATGAAGGTGGACCTCTGTGCCACCACAACTGACCCAGCCTGCTGCCCTCCATAAAACAACCTGCACTTGGAATCCTCATCACCTCCAGTGACCGCCATGGCCACACTTAAACCACACACCAAGGGCCTTTAAGGTGAGATCATGAGAGAGCAAGAGAACAACTAAGGTCACATCACCTCCAACTCAAGCCATTAAAGCTGATTAAAAAATACTTTTGCCCTAACATTTTAATCAACATGCACTATAAGACTTCTGTATTCTGAAAAACTTCCATTATGTGATAAACTTTCGCTATGAAGTTTGCTACACCTCATATCTCAACCAGTGTTAGTAAACCAAGAGAGGATAAGACAGACTTACCAGTACTTTAAGCCAAGTTGAAGATGTATTAGAAACACATCCCATATATTTACTGCCAACACATTTCAATTTTACTACACTTCCTCTCAGCAGATCGTTTTTGCACAAGGACATAACTTTCAGATCAGATTCACAAAATGGAACGTTCTCGTTTTGTAATTACTTCAGGAATCGCTCAGATTGTAGACTCTGGATTTGCTAAAAGGAAATGATGGTTCACACACACAGGTTTTTGCAAGTGCTGGGCATTTCTGGCTGGATGCTACTTGGCATCCTGACAGATTCTTTGTTAGTTCATTACTTGAATCAACTAACTGCTGAATGTTATTGGAATAGATTTTAGCTCCCTAAAAGCATAGAGAACATTTAATTTCACATTAAGAGTTTGTTCAATGAAGATTATTTCTGCTATTAAACACTGCTCTTTAGAAGTCTTGCAGGGTGCAGGACTTCTACAGTGCCATCTGCGGCAATTTCATCTATGCCAATCTGGGCCAAACCAAGTAGAACAATTACTCAATTAAAAATACAAGATATTTCACAAAATTGGTGAGCAAACTGCTTCTGCAGTCCTCAGGAGGAGATCAGATAAACCACATTCTTCTCCTGTTACTTCAAGAACAAAAAAGTTCTATTTAAAATAGTGTTTACCCTCTGTATTTGTATGCATTATGTGTGTAAACCTATAAACTATAGTTGTATTTTTTTCTACACTCACTAATTACTGCACAGAAATAGCATCCCTTTACACATCTGCCCAAGCATGACCTCAGTGATTCTAAGATTTACTGAAGTGGGTTTATTTTTCCTTATTTGAGCTTTCGGTACTCCCAGCATTGCAACACAACCAGCACTCAGC